TATAAAAATGAAAGAATTTTTTTTTTTTTACTTTTCAAAGAGAAGAGAGAACTGGGGGGGAGGGATGGGAAGGAAGAAAAGTGCAACAAGGAATGAATGGAAATCCAAAGTCTCTGTAAACTTTCATTAAAATTCATTAAAAAAATAAAAGGGGGAAAAAATATTCATCCCAAAATCAATTAACACTAGGCCCAAGGGCCATAGGCCCAAGGGCCCTACTGCTTTTTTGAATACAGACTCACCCACCAAATGCTGGATGACTATAAACCAAGAGACCTGAGTGCACAGCCCACTGTTAGCTAAAATTAACAAGTCAGATCAGCTGAAACCTGCTTGTGGATGTAAAAAACAACCAAAGGCACACTTAATATTATAATTCTTTTCCTTTTTCAGAAGGGGAGCAAGAATGAAGAACACAATACTCTCAAATATGTATTTTCCCACATATCTCTATGGATCTCTTGCAAATTGTCTTCATATATTTTTCCTACATACATTTGCACATAAGCATATTAGAGCAGGTGTGTTATTATGAGAAAAGTTTGTATATTGCAATGCATGAAGATTTATACCAATATAAGATATGACAATTACTGAGATTTTATCCTGACTTAAGTACACCCAACATCATTATCACAACCAAATTCTAAATAAAAAAATATAAATAAATGTGTTTTATTTATAGTTCTATATACAACAGTGACCATTATGGAATATATAAAAATTAACTAAGTGATAACTTTAAGTGCCTTGACAGATAACCTTCAGCTATTTATTACCTTGGAAAAAAGAACAAGGGCTTTATAGTCAAAGTCTACTATGTAAAACGTTTTAATGCTCATCAGGATCAAGTTTATCCTATGGGCATCCTGGGAGATTCAGTACCAAGAACAAGAATCCAAAGTTGTTGTTGTTTGTACCATCAAGTGAGAACCAAGTCATAACTGACCTTCCAGTGAGTTTTCAGAGGCATTAAATCACCCATCTTTCTCCTGTGGAGGAGGCTGATGGACTTGAAGTGCATGCCTTTGTGTTGGCAGCTCAATTCCTTACCACTAAGCCAGCAGAGTTTCTTAGAATCCAGACTTATTCTCTATCATACTGATGACAAAAAATGAATGTGATTCAATTCTAAGGATCAAGTTCTTGAGATCTAGCTAGAAAAGGAGTTGAGGAGTTGGTAAAGGCAATGGTCAAAGGCATGGCTGTTCATGGTTTCTGCGTTTTTCCTGCAGGCGGCTATGGTATGGACGTAACCAAGAAAAGCAAACGCGATGGTACTGAAGTCACAGAAAGACGTAAGAGCTTCTTAGAACTTTTACTTCCTTATAAAATTAATATTTTGAGGAATATCATCACAATTTCACCACAACCACCATCAATTTTCAGTGCTTCCCCAAATGGACTCTTCCATAAGATTAGTTTTATTGATTTATCCTGCTTTTTCTTCTAGGATGAAAATTGATTACTACTTTGATGTGTTTTCACAGCCAGAATTTTTTTTAATTTGTTCTTTTTTTTTTTAAATTATAATTATATTTTATTAATTTTCATAAACATTTACAGA